CCTTTCATCGCTCCACTGCTCCTTCCAGGGAGCTTTGATTGCGGATGAAATCCTCGACCTTTTCGCCACGTATCACGATGATGTCTATTAGCCCAGGGGTGAAGGTTTTAGTCTTCTTTACTTGGAACCGTCATCCATACTGAAGGCTGCATCCTTGATCTTCCTCAGCAAGTGCCTCAAGCCCTCCTCACTCTCAGCAAGCAAGGTTGCCTCGTCTGATAGTGTAGGTCTTTCATAAGCCTTCCTCCAGTCCCGTTGTTACCTTCATATAATCCAACTCTGCAGGTGTATTCCTGCCGTGATGTCTCAGGAGAATGTTCTCTGGACCATTTGCCCGTTGTTGCTGTGGACTGATCATGCATGTTTATCCTTTTGTTCAGACCCTGAGTGAGTCGGAAACCTTTGAAGCGGCGGTTTTCAATTTGGCCAGCACTCCCCTTATTGCTAATGTTTATTACATCGTTGGTGGCATGTCCCCCCGGGAGGGTGTGGTCATCACGAGGAACAGAAAAGGCCCAGAGGACATTTGGCCACTAGAGCCTTTGAAAGGATTGTAAGTAGACTTGAAGGCTCTGGCATTTATATCAAATAATATGTATATTTTGATTGGTGAGGCCGGAGGTAATTCTATTTCTGTATGTTTCTTCCCTTGTATCTCTACCTTACGTGACCTCGGCTGAGGAAAGCTGTGTTCTTTTGTAGGTGGTTCCTAGTGGAGACAAACTATGACCACTGGAAGCGCGTGCCTAAGGAAGATGACCGCAGGTAGACCGCTACTCATTCTCATTTGCAGTGTGTTCTAGTCAGGAGCAGGTGCCCCTCCTATTCCCTCCCAGAGAATGTACCTGGGCTCCCTCCCCGGTGCTTAGCCGGAAGGTAGTGGAGCACGCTGGGGAGAGTTTCCTTGGCAACCTTTTGGTATTGTGGCAATGAGGCTAGCCCTGGTGTCAGAGTCAGGAAGCCTAGGTCCTAACGCCAGCCCTGCCAGAGGCTCACGGGCTGACCTCCGTGGGCTCCCTTCACCCATCTGTAAAAGGAAGAGACCGGAGCAGACTCGTGGGCTTCTGAGTAGGGCTTGGTTTGGAAGGTAAACCTTTGTTTCTTAAAGAAACAAATAAGGGGTTTCAAGGTTGGTCCCTTCTGATTTTGAAAACTCTGCAAAATCTGATTTTGCAAACCTTCCTTAAAAGTTAAGGAAGTCCGGCGGTGGAGGTGGTTTGCACCACCTACTGAAGCGCCTCCGGAAGAAAAGCCTGACGATGGGCTCTGTGACAACGACTGCCGGGCAAGCCCCGGAAGCACTTCTCCCGTGACGCGGGGCGTGGCTATGAGTCAGAATCAACTCAAGGGCAAAACCAGCAAGACTAGAATTAGAAGTCAGCGCCTCCTCTTCACTGTCTTAGAAGCGTGGCGGGAGCTTCCTTCTGCTGCGACACATTTTTGCCGACCTCCCTTCTCCCGTCATGGTTGTGCACTGGGCTGTTAACCTCGAGGCCGGCAGCTCAAAACCACCAGGGCTCCACAGGAGAAAGGCAGGGCTCTCTGCTCCTGTAGAGTTTGTCTCACACACGCACAGGGCCAGTTCCGCCCTGTGCTACAGGGTCCCTAGGAGTCCCAAAGGACTCGAAGGCAGCGAGTTTGGCTTCTTGGTTTTCCCTTCTCCCCATGGCTCCCTTGAGAGATGGAGTCAGGGGCCTGGCTGTGGAGTGGGCAACACCATGATGGGCTGGGTCTTGGCAGGACACATACTTGGGGTCGGAAACACGGTTTCGGGGCGGGAATAGGAGGGTATACCTTGTGTTGGGCCTTCCTCATAGAGGTTGAATGGGATTTGGGGATTGCTGAAGTTCTAAGTGACTTTTGGCCTCTGTCCTTACAGACTACCTGCCATCAAAGCCCTTAATGCCACCGGCCAGGCGGACCTCAGTCTGGAGACACTGTTCCAGGTAACTTGTGTTGCCACATCCAGCTCTTATGAAGGGTGTTAGATGTCCTTAACAATAATAGTAATTATTATTCTTATAATACTTCTCTGGAAAACAAATGTGATAGATGAAAATGTTAGAGTAACTGTTTATCCCACTGAAAACATTAGCGGAGAGGAGAAAATGGGAAATTTTTCTGAACCCGTGTATGTGTGAGTCCAAGAATCCATCTCACCTGTTTGTTTTTGTTCTGATCTTAAAAAAACAAAACAAAAAAACAGCTTGTAATTCTCCCACCCCAAGAGTCACTGAAGTGTTTGTTATGTGGATATATAATCTTCTGATAGATATTTGACATGCATTTCTTTTAGCTTTTCATAATCCCTGTAATTTGATTTCTTTTCTGTGCAGATTTTGTCAATAGAGCCGATTATAAACAAGTAAGTGAGCGCGTTAAGCAGAGCCATATTCATAAGCCCCCAGACTAGTGGCTGCGTCACAGGCACACTCTCTTGCCCAGGATGACCGAGGGTTTCCACTGACCAGGCGCTCTAGGTGCTGTGTCTTACAGCAGTGACCAAAAGCAGGTTCCAGCTCACACTGGTGGCACAGTGGGTTTCATGTTGGGCTGCTAACGGCAAGGTCAGGAGTTTGAACCCACCACCTGCTCTGCAGGAGAAAGAGGAGGCTCTCTGCTCCTGTAAAGAAGTACAGCTCCTAAGCAATGAGGAAAAAAAAAAAAAAGATGTACAGCCTTGGAAATCCCAAGAGGCAGTTGTGTTCTGTCCTGTAGGGTCGCTGTGAGTCAGAATTGACTCCACCGTGGTGGCTTTTATATTTGCTGTTGGGGACCACCAGTGAAGTGCGCATGACAACAGGTGAACACATTTGAGAGGCTTCAGAAAGCATTACCTTTTAATCCCATTTCCCACAAGGTTTTTTGAGCCCCCTTGTAGATCATAAATCAGGGAGCAGTCAGTCCTGTGAAGAAAACCACAGGTACCATATACTTGAGTATAAGCCAACCCGAATATCAGCCGCGGCACCTAATTTTACCACAGAAACTGCATGAAAAATGTGCTGGGAAACGGCTTATACTCGAGTCTATACCTTAAGTAGAACTGAGGGTAGCCGGAAGGAAGAGAGCAGTGATGTTCTCAGCTTAACTCTAAAAACAAACCAACACCTAATACAATTGGTAGCATTTGCCAGTTTCTGTGGTGTAAATACTTCTGCCATGGCCATTTCACACATAGGGCTGTGTGGCACGCTTGATGTTGGAATCGACTTGGTGGTGACTAAGTAAGGTCATTGTGAGTAGGAACTGACTCGATGGCAGGGCGTTTGTTTGTGATTCGGGTGTGAGGTGTCTGAACCTGAACGACGATCCCTGTGCTGCCCTCCTGTGGTGCTTTACAAACTCACACTCGAACGACGATCCCTGTGCTGCCCTCCTGTGGTGCTTTACAAACTCACACTCGAACGACGATCCCTGTGCTGCCCTCCTGTGGTGCTTTACAAACTCACACTCGAACGACGATCCCTGTGCTGCCCTCCTGTGGTGCTTTACAAACTCACACTCGAACGACGATCCCTGTGCTGCCCTCCTGTGGTGCTTTACAAACTCACACTCACTGGCCGTGGAATCCCACGTTCCTCCAGGACTGTGAGACCCAAACCAAACCCATGGCCACCGAGCCCATTCCACGCAAAGCAACAACGTAGGGTTTCCTAGCCTGGAAACCTTTACAAGAGCAAGCAGCCTCATCTTCGCCCTTGGAGAGGCTGATGGAGTTGAGTCGCTGACCCTGCAGTTAGCAGCCCCCCCTCCACCTCACCTCACTCACAGGGCCACCAGAAAATACTAAAGCGGAGATGGACAAAGACGAAATAAGGGAAACAAGCTCTGGGGTCCTGCTTGGGGAGACTGCAGGACTCTTGGATGTGAGCTCGGTGTAGGATGCACAGTTGTCTTGGGCCACAACCCAGCTCTACAGATTTGCTTTGAGCAGAAATGATATGTCCCAACTGGTCCCCTAGACCAGCGGCTCTCAACCTGTGGGGGTCAAATGACCCTTTCATGGAGGTCGCCAAATTCCTAACAGTAGCAAAATTGCAGTTAGGAAGTAGCAACAAAAATAATTTTATGGTTGGGGGTCGCCACCACATGAGGAACTGTATGAAAGGGTTGCGGCCTGAGGAAGGTTGAGAACGAGTGCCCTAGACAATTTGTAAGAGACAGCAGCAGTGAGGGGTGGACCTTGGTGTGTCTGTACACAGGTGCGTGTGTAGTGCACGCAAGTTATTTGTGTCTCATGCAGCACAGACTGCTGACGAAATGGAACTGGCCCACTCATCGGGCAGGCTGGGAAAGAGGGGAGCCTACCTTGATCCCTGAGCGTTAGAGGGCTGCACTCTGCTCTGGCTGTCTTCGCTCTGTGCCCCGTTGCATACGGAGCCCAAGAGTGGAGGACCTGGGTTTGTCAGCGTGGATGCAAGCCCATCACTGGGGCGTATGCAGCCCTCTTTCTGGGGCAGTGTTCTCCTGTGTGGTGACAGCCCTCATGGGCATCCTGTGCCTGATGGGCACTGTTGGACTTGTGCCTGAGGTGTTGACCTACATACATACACTATCGCCCTGTGTCGGGTAGGACAGGGCCAGCCAAGAAGAGCAAGGGGCAGCCAGGGCTCAGAGCCAGGGAGGACCCTCCCTCGCTGTCACAGTGCACAGCGCCAAGGGGTCTGAAAACGACGAATTCTACCTCCCTTTCCACATCGTCATCAGATAACAGAAAGCAGTCATTAGACCCATAACTTGATTTATACATTTTAAATGTCTGGGCTTGGTCTCTCTCTAGCATGAGGTCCCAAGTGTTAGGGAGGGTCTTGGTATGATGTTCCTCTTGCTGGAATGTTAGCGAGGCGAAAGTGTGCACAAACTCCTCTCATTCTTTTCAGCAACACAGTGTATACTACAGTCATGAGTGCCGCCTACCCAGACAAGTACATGACGAAGATCAGATTCAGGAAATCTGACTAACGTAAGTCCGCAGTAACGAACCCACCGCTGTCACCACTGATTCACGACAGGCGGTTACTCTTTGGGGGCAGTGGGTGGGATGGAGGGGGATAGTCACAGCTTTCAGATTTCTTCGTGCATCTTGCCCCTCTGATAGACACGTGGCATATGGCGTAGGCTGTCATTTGTGCAGGCTGATTGTCATGGCTAGGCATTTTGCCCTGAAATGCTTGTGGGAGAACGCATCGTTCAGTTCCCTTCCTCTTGTTAAAGCTGCGGACTGAATGCAGTCTTCCATTCACATGGGGGAAACCTCCTGGTCAGATTTTTGTGTTCCCAGGCTGCTAACTGCAGGGTCAGCAGTTTGAAACCACCAGCTGCTCCACTGGAGTTGCCATCTGGGAAACTCAGAGGGGGCAGCTCTACCCTGTCCTATAGTGCTGCTATGCGTTGTCAACGACTAAGTGGTGAGACCCAGGCCCTGGGCAGCATGGGATTAGGTGTTATTTGGGCAAAGGACACGTTTAGAATTTATTTCAGACACCAGTGAGCTGAGAGAGGAGGGGAAGGACTTGGGGAGAAAGCAGGGATCCGCTGTGCTGTCTCTGAAACCAAACCTTACAGACAGCACCCCCTTCTGATAGGGCACCCACTCCTACTGAAGCACATACTGGAGTTGGCAAACCCAACCTGGTGTTTGGCACCCTTATTAGGGGGAATGTTAAAAATCAGTGTTTAAATCAGAGTGATATCTTCCTTCTTCCATTACAGGCAATTTTTATACAAGAGATCTTTCACCTTTAAGGTGTTTTACTTTATTTTGGACATTAATATTAACATCGCTTTTGCTACAGAAATTACTCTTTCCATTCTTTCTTTCACAGCTTGGAAAAATGCTGTCGGAAGATGAAGTGGGCTTTTCCCTGAATCGCCTCTAGAGAATGGTGGGCAGCCATGGAAGAAGCTTCAGGTCTTTGAAGGATTGTTCAGCCCGGTTTCTCTTTAGATGAATGCCAACCAGCCGCTTTGCTGATGCTTGGTACGAGCTAAGCTGTGCTGGAGAAGACATTATTGCTCACAGTTAGGTTGCAGGCTACCTGCGTGGTCTCTTCACACATTCCTGCTATTCACATCTGCTGTCCTGGAAGACTGGTGGCCAGAATTCTCCCTAGAAGCAAGGATGGTGAAACTCCTCACTCCCTTTTTACTGATCAGGAGGGACTAGTCCCCAGAGAAGGACATCTCGCTTGATGAAGCCGAGGGCCAGAGATAAAGACAAGGACCCTCGCTGCGATAGATTGAGACAGGGTCTGCCCTGAATGGCTCCAACAGCAGCACTCCCGTCTTCTCCCACAGAAGAAAGAAATGAAGGGATGTGAGACGTTGTTGGGTGCCATCGAGTCAGCTGTGACCCATAGCCGCCCTCCACCCGGTCCTGCAGCATCCTCACCGTTGTTCCGATGCCTGAGCCCATGGTTCGAGCCCCTGTGGCGATCCAGCTCGTTGAGAGCCCTTCACTTTTTCCCTGCCCCTCCACTTTCCCAAGCCTGATGTCCTCCCCAGGGCCTGGCCTCTCCTGACAACGGGTCCGGAGTATCTAAGGAGTCTTGCCACCTTGCCTTTCAGGAGCATCTGGCCTTACTTCTAGCAAGACAGACTTGTTTGTCCTTTCAGCAGAACATGGGACTTTCAATATTCTTCAACCTGACTCAACAGCACTGAAGAAGAAGAACAATGACATTCCCATCCTCTGCCACAGAAAAAATAAAATAAGGGTTACGATATAACCGTGAAAAAATAAAGTTTACAAGTTCCTTTCCTATGCCATTATTGTGCGACTGAGTAGAAAGCAAGCCTGGAGCAGCCGGCATGTACATAAGAGACGCAGGATAGACAAGCAGCCTCTGCCAAGCAAATAGATAAAGGTCCCACCACATCTATCAGAAAATGTTTCCTTTCTTACAAATGATTAAAAAAAAAATAAGACCATGAGTCAGAAGACAAAGGAGATAGTGTCATTTTGCATCATAGGCGTATGTGCTGTGTGAATCTTACAACAAGGAAGTCCAGTGGCTCTTTGCTTTCTTGCTCTCGGGACTTTTATACACTTACTTCTGACCATCAGCTATGTCCTTGTCCCACATTGCACTTTTGCCACACTAGTGAAAGCCTGTCCAACTGCGCTGCAAGTCTGAGCAACATACTTGTATATCTGGCAGCAACAAACACTGAGCTCCAAGGCCCGACTAATGGCTGTAAGGGTAAAGGTGATGGACAGTTGGACTGGACTGTGATTCTCAGTGGTTTGTCACTTATGTACGGATGTAATTTGGCAATTCTGTAATGATACAGTCCTCCATTTTGCAATCTGGGACAGCTATCTGTCATCTTCGCATAATACCAGTCTTTACACAGCAACCCAATCTTTGGAATCTAGTCTATTCCAGGAGTGGGGAACGGGTGTACTTCTGAAAATAGAGGGCCTCCCCACAACCGTTGATGCTGATTACATCCCCAAACTCCCTGCGTGAGAAGGTGGAGTAGGCATTAGGTTATTGTCCATTAAAAATAACTGTAAGTCCCTTACAGGTCACACAAATAACAGTTTGGGCAATGATTTTCTGAAACAGATAAGCAGTCAGGCACGCTGGTAAGGTTCGACATGCTTCAATGTCTCTTGAATGAAGGCAGCCTGCTCTCTGCTGCTGCAGTCAGTCGGCTGCGTTCAGTTTTGGTTGAAGTAGACGAAGACAATCCTCACACAGTTACACAGCACAGATAGGTAGCAAATATGTATGAGCGTTCAGTCCTGGAATCCGAATCTTCCATGCGGGAAGCCTGGGTTCGATTCCTGGCCATGACCGGTCTGCGCCGGTTGGCTCACACACTGCGATGCTGCGGAATAGGTTGCAGCAGCGCTTCCAGGTGAAGGCTTTAGCTCTGCACTGTCCGTCATGCGTGTGTCCATGCAAGTACCACGTGACTGTGTAACAATGAAGTTCCCGACGAGCCGCAGTATAAAAAGAACAAACTGAAAAGGTGACTTGGGTTTCCTTGTGAAAGATACTGGCTCTTTCCCCGTGAAGCTTTGGCGGGGGCTCACTTTAAGATTTGGTAAAATGGGTAATGAGTGTTGTCTTGTATTTTCCTTTGCTTTGATCTTCCCTAAGCTGCTGGAATAACTCAAAGGGAAATGACCTCAGGGGTCAAGTGTAGGCTTTATAATAGTGGTATAGTGGTATGCTACCACCCCTCAGCTCATTCACTGAAGCGAGATAGAAGTCCATCTGGAAACGTCAAAGCAAAAGCTTGGAAAAAAATGGAAGCACATTAAAAGGTCCTGGAGAGAGTAGAAGAAACGTGAAGCAAAACTCAAACTTTTTTTAAAAGACTAGAAATACTGATCAGATAGAGATTGGTAGAAGCTCTGAGATTACGTTCCCTTATAGACCTTAGTGACCCTTCAGGTCTGGAACTGAGCTTGTGCTCACGGTGCAATTTTCAGCCAAAAAAGAGGTGTGAAGGAGGACAATACCTGGGGAGGTGTGTACCCTTTGGGATAGTCAGTCATTTGAGGTCAAAAGGGCAGCATTTCCCAGGACTAAGTTCAGAAGAGCCAGGCAAGGGGGCATGCACACAGGAAGCAAGAAGGCAGTGGGATAGGAAGGTTCCATTGTAGAGATTGCAACCAACTCCAGGAAACAAAATGCATATGAGTTGTTGAATAGAAAATAGATCTGCTGTGTTAAATCTTCACGCAATTCACATACACCTATCCCCCAAAAAAAGTTTTAAAAAAAGAAACAGAACTGGGGTTTGACTGGAACCTTGCACATTTATTCCCATGTAATGGGGATTTTCAGTCTTTATAAAACGTTGAAAGAACTTTAGAGACTGGAAAGGAACGGGAGAGGGGTGAGGGTCGAGGGATGGAACTTGGCGGAGAAGATAAGCCAGGTAGGGAGCAGGAGTGGGGGGTAGGTGGGGGGACAGGAAGGCATCGAAGAGATGAATAGCAAGAGGCGACGGGCAGAGGGAGACAAAGCCTTGCATTAATATACCCTCGGGACAGTCATTAATAATTAAGTCTGGATAATTTCATGCATCCTCAGGAAAGTTTGAGTGGAATGCCTCGGGGCTGATGTAAACTGTGGCGGGGACAGGAATTCTCTGGTGCGTGAGGGAAGGTGGGAGGGACTATGGGATAGAGATCCTTGTAAATAGCTGAGGGAGGGCTGCTTTTTGCTCAACTGGACCCATTTAAATGTTTCTTTAATGTTTTGTTTTTTAAAGGATGGACCTTTTTCCACCTGCCTGCTTAATGAATGCTTCTGATAAGCAACATTAAGCTAAATAACTTTGTCTCATAATAGTGGTTGGTAAGAGGTTGGAGAAGTGTCACAGAGAATAAAAACGTTTTTCGAGATTTTTAACGTTTTGTTCTCCTTCCTGTTTTATGCCTACTGTCTTGTGGTTCTGAACAGCCGTCCCGAGAAAGTGGCTCTCTCAGACGTTAATCAGAGACAGGCAACCCAATAAGCAAAGTCACGTGGGCCGACGCGGTGCACGTCCGAACGTAACCCTGCCCAGTCCTGTGCCAGCCTCACAATTGTTCCTCCCTGAGCCCGCTGTTGTAGTGGCTGTGTCCATCCATTTCCCTGGGGGCCTTCCTGTCCCCGGAGAAGGACCTCATGCTCTGTCAAGTGGAGGAGCGTCACAAGGGAAGAAACTGCTTTCTAGGAGCTTGTCCTACATCTATTCAATGACACGTCTCCTTAGATGAAGTCAGAAAAGGTTAAAGGCATAAGCAGGAGTTTGAGTCAGAGATTCTTGTTTTGTGTGCCGCCGGAACAAAAGAAAACGGAATGTCTGGGGCACAGTGTTACAAAGGCACACTCACCCCTGCCCCACCACACCGCACACATCCCTGTGTGCTTGGGTTATGTTCAATAGCACTGGTTAAAAATCCACCACCCAGTGTCCTTTTAAAGTAAAATGTCAAAAGTAGCTTATGCGTGCCAGACAGTGCAGTGCAATTTAGCCTCTAAATTCCTTTTCTTTAATTGTAGTGCACTCTTTTTTCCTTGAAAACATACCACGAACTTTGGTGGTAAAATACTATCATTTTAACCGCGCAGGGGAAGCCAAAGGTTTTCAAGCAGGAAAGTGATTTAAGTAATCTAAATCTCTGGTTGGTGTTAAGATCTTTGTCCTTTGCAGTGTCTCTAGAGACAGATTTTTTGTTAGTCTACTTGGGACTTGTATTCCCCAAATCTCTAAGGCTCCCTAAATTTTTGTCTTTATTTCAATTCTGAAAATGCTCAGTTGTCATCTAAGAATTGCTCTGCTACATCGTCTTATGTGTTTTTTGATGAACACCAAATATACGTGTGTTATACCTTCTCATTGTATCTTCTGTGTTCTCAGTCCCTCCAGCATTTAGGGAGAAAAGGAAGACAGAGAAGGTCGATTTTTCTTACAATGCCGCCTTTTATATATTTCAAGCTTTTTTCTTTTCTGGTTCAAAATTATTATCAATAAACGCATTGAGTTTTTAATACCAAACAAATGATACTTTTTATATTTTATTTGGAATATTGCAAATCTGTTGGCAGCTTTTAAAAAGTAGCGTCTTGTTCTATGTTTTGATTTCCTCTTCTCTAATCCTTCTAGCCATACTTAGTTTATAATTTGCTTCTAATTCCACTATCAAGTTCAGACTTGCTGTGTGTGCTGACTTTCCTGGTGGTATCTGTGCGTGTTTTGTTATAGTTTTGATTGTGTATTTTTGTCCCATTGGACTTTTCTCTAGAAACCATACCGGTCTGGGCTGATGGTATCTACTCCCAGGCGGGTGTATGTTTGTTGGGGTACCCACAGGTCATATGATGGGGAGCCTCCAGCCTTGATGAAGGAGGGCTCACGGCTACAGGTCAGCAGTGGGGAGCCCCATCCTCAGCCCTGTGCAGGCAGAGGCTGGTATGTTTTAATGTTGTTTGTCTCCTTTTGCGGACAAGCAGTTTCCCCTCTGCGTTTGTCCTTGAGGATCCCAGCTTTGTTTTAACACGCCCCCCCACGCCCTATTGCCTGCACCCAAATCCTGAGCCTTGTGTCTTCCACCCCGATGTATTTTCTCAAATGCCATTGTTAAAAACCTGAGTTTCTAAATGACTAAACCAAAACTAAACAAACTGTGACTGAGTCAATTCCAACTCACAGTGACCCTGTAGGACAGGACAGAGCTGCCCCTCTGAGCTTCGGAAGCTAACTCCACAGGGCTAGAAAGTCCTCTTTCTCTCTGGGGACCATTATGCCACCAGGTCTCCTTCTAAGTGATTGGGACCCTCAAATCCCAGGGGCAGAATACTTGAAATGGGTCATGCAAACAGAAAAGACAGTGGCCGCTTGGGGAAATGCCTTGGGTCTCCCTGAAGCTTTTGGCGGAAGCCCCTGAGCTCTGGAGTCGCCTCTGAGCTCCCAGGCAGGCCCCTCTGCCTGTCTGGTCAGCACTGTTCTATTTCTGGCTAAGGAGCTCAGGCTTCTCAGACACAGCTTGAGAAACAGCTTCCTAATCCAAGAGAGTGAAAAGATTGAGAACTGGGGGTGGGGCGAGCGTCACAGGGAAAGAAAGGACCTTCTGGAGTTGGGCTTGGGTGGGAGGGGGCAGCCCAGATGATGCAACCTGCCCCTCGTGGACCTGCTCGTGAAGGGGAGTCTGGAACTTTCCCCAGGGCTTGGGTGTCCTCACTGCCTTCAGGAGAAGGTATTCCTGACAGGCCAGACCATGGGTCTGGAGGAAATCTGATGAGCCCGGGCGATCCCACAGGCACTTCTGCACACAGGATGGGGTTCTTGGCTCCGTGTAGCTGCCTCATTGTTTCCCAGTGAAATACACCATAGAAGGTAAGAGCTTTCTTTCCACCCTTAAGGGCAGGAATGTGGGAGACAGGAAGGCAGAGAACTTCAGTTTTATTCAGGAAATAAATGCAATTTGGTTTGGGGATTGGTCAGAACACAGGTTCTTTGTGATCTCATCAGCTCATCCAGGGAGAGTCTCGTGTGTGTGTGTGTGTGTGTGTGTGTGTGTGTGTGTGTGTGTGTGTGTTCAAGTCGTGCAAAGTCAGGTTTCTTTGCATTTCTGGGGTTCACTTAGGTGTCGATAAAGAATCACCTGTATTGTGTTTTTCAGTGACGTCAGGTATGGATGAGGCTGAGTCAAGTCCCAACGGAGGCAGAAGTGGGTCAGTGACAGAATTCTCCACTTCCAGGCAGGAGACCCTTGTTTGGGTCTCGGCCACCACACCTTGTGTGCAGCCACCCAAGCTTGTGCCTTGTTATGATGCCCAACTTTCAGCCTAGGGAGGAAGGTCTGACTTCTGAACGTCAGTCCACAGATCACAATGGTTCGAGCTGTTGCACTCTGTTGTGCTTGAGGTCGCCATGGGTCGGGGGCTGACTGAGCCCCCAACCACAGTCCAACCCTATGCGGTGTAGATGTGCTTGTTACCTGACAGGACGGAGCTGATGGGATTCTCAATAAACACTGATTCCTTCCGAAACCCTCGGCCAGCTCAAGCCCATTGTCACGTCTGATCCGCTGATGTGTTTGGTCTCTCCGTTTCTTCTCTGAGAAATGCTTCCTTCCCTTCCTATTTATTTTTCGACGTGACTTTCCACAACCAGCTATCCTGCTTATTTAATCAGAGACACATTCCCCTTTCTTACATGGGGATGTTTGGAAAATATAACAGTGATTCTTACTTAGGAAAAAAGTTATAAAAAAAGCTATGTAATGTTAAAAACCGAAGTCCCTCATCCCACCTGCCCTCCAAAGGTAATCCCTATTAATAGTTTGGTGAGACTGTTTGGTTCTTAAACACATGCTGACTTTTAAAATTACATACATGAGATCAGAAGAAGCATTAAACCCAAACCAAACTCACTGCCATAGTCAAGGCTGACTCACAGTGACACCCACCCACCTCCCCACTCCCCCACCACCCCCTGGTTCCCGAGACTGTAGCTGTTTACTGGAATAGAAAGCCCGTCTTTCTCCTGAGGAGCTGCTGCTGGCAAGGGGAATGCAGCCCAGCGGGTCACTCCATAGCAACTGGGCTCCCCCAGATAAAGCAGTTTAGCAAGGTATTTATTTGGGGGATATCTGCATACAATTATATGTACATTGGCTTTGTTCTTTTTTCATTGTTTTCAATGGCCCACCATACATTTAGTCAGTCCTATAGTTCTAAATATTTCAGGTATTTTTTTTATTTGGGGGGAGGGAGGAATTTAAAGACAGTTCTGGGAATGGCGTTTACGAAGGCGTTTCATCTCTTTTTTTCATGACAAGAACAAACACAAAGCATGTATCTAATGACATTTCCCACCCAGGACCAACTTATGGCGGGGTGGCAGTGACCGCCCACAACAGGGAAACCATGCTGAGCCCCGGGCTGGCGGTGATCAGGGACACCTGTGCAGTGATAGGGGCCACTGGGAGTCCCGCCCTCCTCCTGCACTAGGTGAGCGCCATCCGTTGGTCCTTGGTGGCCCGCTGTAATGGACGCTGACTTCTGGTACAGCCCGATGTGCTGGCAGGAGAGACTCCATTGCTTTCACCCCTCGCGGTGTTTTTGCAAAGCTTTCCAGTGGGAAATACCTCGGTTCTTGGCTCCGCTGAAAAAGAATTCATGCCGAAGCCTGTTTTGTAATCCCAGTGGGTTCTTATGAAGGACGGGAGAAGTGTCAGGTTTTACTGTCTCCAAAGGGTACGTGCTGTTTCGGGGAAGCGTGCCAGGCAGCCGGCAAGCCGCGCTGGGGTGGGCAAGTGGACACGCGCAACCTCGTGGAACAGCGCGCCCACACGGAGGGCGGCGAGGCGAGCGGAGCGGAAGAGAGTCAGAGAGGGAGAGGCTCCCCCTCCACTGGCCACTGGCCAGGAGCGGCCTCCCTGCAGCCAGGGTTTTTCAAACCTCTGGTGAGGGAGGCGTGGATGATGGTATTGGTTGAGTCCACTGGCTCTTTTGAGTCACTTGGGTGAGGTCATGGGCCCGGGCCTAGTTTGGCTCGCCCAGGTGTGCCTGCCACCTGGCTCCGGACTTGAATTGGAGCATGCTCAGTGAAGGGTTCCTCATAGGTCTTTCGTGCTCGCCTGGTTCCCTTCCCAGCCTCCTCTAGCGGGCCTGTGCTGGCGTGGGAGGGACCACCCCCTGTCCCTGGCTCTAGCTACCCAACTGTTTAAATGGTTTATTAGTCCGTGGTAGTTCTGACTCGCTCACTCTACAGTGTCATGTTTCTATCTCCAGTAGCTCGTTAAAAATAATGTTTGCTGCTGCCGTTGTTGCCAATACACATGGTCAAATATACACCAGTTCATCGGCTGACGTTTCAGTTAGCAGCTGCCAGGGCTTCCTCACGACTTTTGCCTTCTCTTAAATTTGAGCCAAGTGGTTGTCGTTTCAAAATAAGTCATAGCGTCAGATTAGTTGATGAACCTAAGACCTGTAGCCACCTCGTGCCGGAGACTGAAGGAGAAGTGGGGAGGGTGCTCTCACATGATACCTTGCCCTTCTGTTTTTGGTGTAATATGGGAGGAGACAAAGTTCCTAGATCAGTTGGTCAGGGTGCACTGATACTCTGCCTGAATCTCCCTCTTCCAGATTTCCTTTGTCGACAACCAGCCCAGCCTCCCGTGGATATTCGGAGTGAGTGCTGTTGGCCTCACACTGCACTTGGGCTATGGGAAGTGGCACCTCCACCCAACAGCACTTTGCTTTTCAGAATGCCGAACATGGTATGTGTTTCCCATCTCCCAGGCCAGCTATGGGTGCCCAAGGCCGACATTGGGTAGCAAGGGTTTGATGATGAGTCCTTGGTGCTCCTCGGGGTAGATCCACTCCATTTCTTACCAAGCCAACCCTGAAAATTTAGCTTCTTCTGTTTGTGAAGTGACCATAAGACACCCAGCTAAATATCTTCCAAAAACCCAAACTCACTGCCATTGAGTCAATACCATTGAGTCATAGTGACCCTATAGCACCGGGTAGAACTGCCCCTGTGAGTTACTGAGATGGTATGTCTCTCTTTATGGAAACAGAAAGCCCTATCTCTCTCCCAAGGAACTGCTAGTAGTTTCAAACTGCTGATCTTGCAGCCTAATGCATCATCAAGATGGTGCCAAGGCTTCTTGCTGAATATCTTAGGGTTTAGTAAACTACACTTACTTCCATACTGACTCGCAGAGACCTTTTAGGACTGGGTAGATTTGCCCCTGTGAGTTACTGAGACTGTAACTCTTTACAGGAGTAGAAAGCCCCGTCTTTTTCCCGCAGAACTGCTGGTGGTTTCGAACTGCCAGCCTTGAAGATTACAGCCCAATATGTAATCACTATGCCACCAGGGCTCAACTAGTAAGATATACTTGACAGAATTAACACGAACTCAAGGAGTCAGGGTTTTCCCAAAGGATATATGTACAAGCAAATGAATTAAGCTTTGCCAAAGGGCAATGAAAGAGCAGTCCAGTCAGTGAAGGTCATGGGGAAGAAGGAAGTGAGAAATTCATGAAACGGAATGGCTCCATTTGGTTGGCCTGACCAGAATAAGATGAATGGTAGTATGAAATGAAGTTACAAAGGTAACTTGTGGGATTTGAACTTGATACTAATGGCAAGTAAAGAGGAAACAATGAATAGTTTAAAATAAGAAGTTCTCTACTAAGATTTACATATTTAAAAGATCGTGGTGGAACCATCATTAAGAGATCATTGGCTAACTGAAATGCTGGCAGTTCAGCTCCACAGCAGAAGTGACCCGGTGATTTGCTCTTGTAAGAATTAGTCAAGAGAACCTTATGGGATAGTTCTTCCCTGTCACCTGAGTCAGCATCAACTTGACAGCCCCTAACACCAACAACCGGGTGCTGTGCAGAAGGGATTAGAAGAGTTTGTTGTCAGAACAAAAGGAAGAGGTAGCTACTGATATCCAAGAAGAGATAGTAATGGCTGGATCCAGAGTTGGTAGCAGAAGAGAAGAGGGTGTCTGCGAACAAAGTTTAGGAAACAGAATTGACAGGCTCCAGTTGGTTAGATGTATAGGACTATGAGAGAAGGACACATGAAGAATGACGTTCAAGTTCCTAACTAGCAAATCTGAGCGGATGATGATGCCATCGAGTCATTATGAATACAATAGGATGGAACACTGCCCGGTTTTGTTTTGTTTTGCACAATCCTCGCAATTGTTGTTTGAGGCCATTCTTGCAACCACTGTGTCAATCCTTCTTGAGGGTCTTCCTCTTTTTCACTGGCCCTCCACTTTACTGAGCATCATGTCTTTCTCCAAAGGCTGGTCTCTCCTGACAACACGTCCAAGTCCATGAGATGAAATCTTGCCATTCTCGCTTCTACGGAACAGTCAGGCTGTACTTCTTCTAAGACAGATTGGTCTGTCCTTTCAGGAGTCCATGGTACTTTTGATATTTTTCTCCAGCACCACCATTCACATGCATCTACTCTTCTTCGGTCATCCTTACCCAATGCCCGGCTTTCACATGTCTAAGCGCAGAGTGGGCAGTTTCATGTTCAGATCTCGATTGGAGAGGAGAGGTTGGGCTGGTGATAGGCACATTTGAGTGTAGGTGGTTGTTGTAGCCATGGGGGTGACTGAGACAGTCTGGGTGGGAGTAAAGAAGAGCAGAGCCCAGAGCCTAGGAGAGAGCCATGAGGAACTCTAGCCATTGAGGCATCAGATAGAGGACCACGGGTCTGCGAAGAATGCTGAGATGATGCAGCCAGAGATGTCGGGCAAAGATAAGGAGCACGTGAGATTGAAGGAGCCAAAAGAAGTGGTTCAAGAGTATGACCAACTTTCAATGCTGATGAGAAATTAAATAAATGACCACTAAATATATGCATCAGATTTCATGACATGAACATCACTGGTAGCATCAGTGGAAGCGATGTCAAGCTGGCAGTGAAGGCTCAATTATAGCATGGGCTGAGGAGTGCTGTTGAACGGAAAATGGAGAAGCCCTTCAGGGTTGCATGAAATGCTTTTCATATCAAACAGAAGGTCAGTATTAGGCAACACATGGTTAAGAGCCAGATGAACGGGGTTCAAATCCTGACTCCACTATTCTCCAACCGTGAGGTCCTCTAAAGCTCATTATTGCTGTTGTTGGCTGGTTGCCCAGGGCGAGGGGCTAGGGAGTGTCACAGGGGAGCAGGGAGGGAAACAGAAGCACCTGCACAGACAGACATCAGAGTCCCTGCAGGCTGGACCCACACCCAGGACCAAGCACATGCCATCCTCCACCCTTCTCCATCCGGGGAGGCCGAGAGGGCTTTCTCCTGCGGGCTGTTGCCAATCAGATAGCTTTCTATTTGGTCAGCATACATTTAAAATCACTTTTAAAAAATGGTACTGGGGTGAGGAATCTATTCTAATTTTTTTAATGGGCCACAAAAGTAAAACAACAACACACACATACACTAAATGAGGGCCGATGCTGTTGAGATTTTTATATTGTATACAGACCTTTTTAAAGAGGTGTATATGTATTGAAGGTCAGGGGGCATTTCTGATTTCCACTCACACTGCATTGCAGCTGGAAGCATGGGAGGCAAGTGTTCGTATGCTGGACCTTCTCCAGTCCGTACTTGTGAAAGGGATGTATCCATGAGGGTACATCAGATATGACAGGTAGTTTTTTGTTTTGTTTTGTTTTTCAGTTACATGTGTCTTATTCTGAGACTGCCCAAAGCCCTGCTGTCCCCTCTTATCTGAGTCACCCTCCATCCCTCTCCTCGGATGATCAAAAATGGGAATTCACAGCATGAGTGAATCTTTTTGAAGGTTTTCATGAGCAGTGTCAGATCCAACCGCTTTTTTTTTTTTAAGTAAGAGGCGCATTCTCACCAGGAACTGGGTGACCCCTGCCTGGGTGTGATTGGTTATTCAGAGAACAATGCCATTCAGGACCGGAGGGAGCCTGACAAACCACCAAGCCTTCTTATGTCCCTGTGTCACCAGGTGGCTTCAGAAGCAAGTCTGCTGCTGAGGGGGCTGCTTGCTGCCTTGGGCCCGGCTCTCCACTGGCTTCCTCTGCAGCTCAGTCCCTTCCTTGGCTGGTGCCCCCGCCTCTCCTTGGAAACGAGGAATAGAGGGAAATTCACATCTCATACAGTATGAGATGATTTGGGCAGGAGGAAGGACTTCTTACAACCAAAATGCCCCCACATGTAAAATCAGGGACTCGTACAGTGTTTCTTCTATAGCAGTCAGCACAAGGGTTGTTGATCAGCTTAGGGGTGGTGTGTGTGTGTGTGTGTGTGTGTGTGTGTGTGTGCGCGCGCGCGCGCGCGATGTTTACACCGAACCTCCCAGCTGCCTTGTCCTTTGCAGCAGGTGGGGTGACTCCTGGCTGTCGGGGAGGCAGCTGTGTTTGTCTGAGATGGCATTGGATCACTGGAGGCCTCTGCATCTTGTTCTTGAAATGTGCTTTCTTGACAGGTGTTGATCACTTGGTTTATAATGACCTAGCGCAGTGTGTCTCAAAGCGGACATGCTGCCCCTGGCAGGTGCTGGCACAATCCCGGGGAGCTGCAAAGCAGATTACCTTACACTTGATCCTGAATGATACAGGAACAGATATGTCTTGAGATATTGTCGTGAGAATGCTCCTTAAAAGCGCAGCTGGAGAGACTTTGTCTCACTTGCTTTGGACATGGGACCAGGAGGGATGATTTCTGGAGAAGGTTGGTAGAGAACCTGTGAGAACAGCAGAAGAGCCTCAGTGAGACTGGTTGGCACAGTGGCTGCAGCAACAGGCTCAACTCTAGCTACTGCTGTGAGGGTGGCAAAGGCCTAGCAACGTTGCGCGCAGTTGTACATAGCAGGACTGTGAGTGCGAATTGACTCATTGTGGGGGGGAGTTTTTGAAGCGCACCAGGAAAGTAGAGAACCCGGGGACCACAAGAATGGGACCCAGTAAGCACCTGACATGATACTGCACATTCATTTGTGTATTTGTTATTCTTTGTTTTCTTCAGTCATTTAGTAGCTTCTTTTCCAAAGGAGGAATGGGCCCTGGTGGTGGCGTGCTTACATGTTGGGCTGCTCACCACAAAATCAGCCGTTCAACCCTCCCCCCCCCCACACACACACACAAAGACTTGGCATTTAACTCCTGTGAAGAATTACAGTCTGGGAAACCCACGGGGACAGTTCTACTCTGTGGCAGTGAGTTTGAGTGTTTTCCAGATGAGGACATTGAGGTCAAACACTGCCACTTGGCCTGAAGCCACAGCTTGTGCAGTCAGGGCTATTCTAGACCTAGACCCCAAGTCTCTTGGCCACTAGTCTTTTGTCACAATGGTCTCCCTCTCCCTGCACATCCCATCCTTCACAGTGCTGTCTCCTTAAATCTCTCCAGTTGACATCCATTCAAAAGCTTTCATCTATGCGTATGTGTAAGTGAGGATCCCAGGCAACCTCCAACCACACAGCCTTGCCTGTAGAACCATCAGACAAGGGTGAAGTGGGGTAGGGAGCAGGTAGGGGCCAAGCACTGTGAGCAGCAAGAAGGCGCATTCTTCCTGCAGACATGCTTTCCCCATGCGGTCCCCACCGCGTGTGCTTGGACTTTTATTGTGAAATGCACAGTTCAGAGGACCAGCCCCTGCGTCTCCGCAGGTCTTGGGTGGCTCAGCTCATGGCTTTGCTTCTTCCTCATCCCTGTCACAGCCTTCAAGGCAGCGGCACTGATCCAGAGGTGGTACCGGCGGTACATGGCCCGCCTGGAGATGAGGCGGCGCTGCACCTGGACCATCTTTCAGTCCATCGAGTATGCTGGACAGCAAGACCAGGTCAAGGTGGGATGGGCTGTGGGATGGAGATGCTTCCAGCCGTGCTTTCCAGGCCCTGGCAGTCAGGCCCAGGGGCTCAGAAATGACGCCGATGACGCTGATGTGGGGCGCTCCTGGGTCTTCCACCCCCAACTCTCCCCAATAGTCTTATTGGCATATCCTTCACATATCACATAATTTAATCATCCAATCATTTTAAGATGAGATGTGCAATCATCACCACAGTCAGTTTCTTCTTGTATTTGTTGTCGCTAGCTCTCCATTTTCTCCCAGGCTCTCTGGCCAGGGCCCTAGATAAGGAATAATCCAGTTACTGTCTCTGTAGATTTAGCTCTCCTGGTTTTCATATACAATAAATTAAAAAAACAAGCAGGAAACAAACCCAAAGCAACAACAATGACAAAACAAAACACAGCTTGGGATAACAGTTGTATGAGCCCCTAATAAAATGTTAAAAAAGAAAAAAAAAAACACAGCAAAAATCCAATAGAAAGGAAACCAGAAAATATTAAAAACTGGAAACAACTTTTAAATGGGTCAAAAGATAAGATTTTAACTTAACTATTTCTACCATAATTGACTCTCTGTCTGACAGCAAAGTGATTCATATCCATAGACTATGGTCAGAGCGGATCCACAACAGGCTTAACCCACGCCTGGACCCTGCAAATAGATTTTGGGCTTTCTCTGTCATCCATAGCCTTCTGCAAACTGGGTATTCAGAATTTAAGCTCTGATACCAGTCCATCCTTTGGATTTGCATTTTATTATTTACAATCCTTGGATCACACAGGCTGGTGTGCTTCTTCCATGTAGACTTCATTGATGCCTCACTTAGATTGCTAGAATACAAGCCTTTCAGACCTCAGATGCTATTTTTTCTGATACCCTGGCACCGTCTGGTTTCTTCGCCACATTTCCTATAGTACTCATACCTTCAGTGATCGCTTCCTGAGGGCGAGCATCGATTTGGGCCATGTCATAAGACCTACTTGTTCTTAGAGTGGGGCTAGAAGTAAGTGCCAGCGCTCCTGGGTCTTTGCACTCATCTCTAAAGCTGTCTTCTTGGGTTCTTCCTCAGCTCCATGATTTCTTCAGCTACCTCGTGGACCACTTCACCCCCAGGTGCCACACAGAGAGTGAGTACGAACTGCCAAATGGGACATCCTCTTGTCTTGCCTTGGGGTCATATAGGTGTGAGAAGTGTACTGGGAGCAAGAAGGTACGTTCAGGGACAGAATGAAGAAAGAGGCTGATCCACAAATGGTAGCATGCACGTTTACTCCGGGTTGTCTTGGAATAAGCGTTGGAGTGTTTGATCAGTGCAGGAAACTGGGAGGACCTGCGAAAGGGATTTAGGGAAGGTCAGGCATCCCTGGGGACATGGTGGTAAAGCCTGGTGGGCTGCAAACCGAGGAGGTCTGTGGTTCGAGCCCCTCAGTTGCTCCGCAGGAGAAAGATGTGGCAGTTTGCTTCCGACCAGACAGGTTTTGATTTGGGACGGTTATTAGTGTTGTCAGGCCGCTGTCATCAAAGTGCACAGACTGGGTGATTGACAAGGTTAGAAGTTTATAGAAGGCTGGAGGGCCCAATGAGCAAATCTGCCAGGCCATGTTCCTTCAGAAGGGTATGGGCGAAGCTCCGTTCTCCTCCCTCCCAATGTCTGCTATCCCCAGGTGTTCTCGTCATGTAGGTGGGTCTTAGATGGCCGTTCAGACTATGTCCATCTCTCTGTTTTGGTTTTTTTCTCCTTTTTTAAAAAAAGAGCACAGCTCCTATTAGAGTAGGGTCCGTGCTACCTCGGTAGAAGGAGCCCTGGTGAAGTTCCAATAACTCAGCAGGTAGATGGGAGAAAGATCTGGGGGTCGTTCCCAATACAATTCCAGCTGGGAAAGCCCTGTGGGGGTTGTTGTGCTCTGCCACATGGGGTTGCTATGTGTCAGGATCAAGTCCACCGCCCCTAGCAACCACCATCACTCCAGTATGACCTCTTGTAGGCGTCTTCAAAGACCCTATCCCACCCAGGCCACATTCACAGATTCCAGGGGTAGGATTTCAACATTCCCTTTCTCACTGCCATCGGCTCGATGGTGACTCATAGGGACCCGATAGGGCAGAGAAGAACTGCCCCTGTGACTGTCCAAGGCTGTACCTCCTTACAGGACTGCCGGAGACCAGCTCCGGCGTGTTCCTAACAGAAAGCTGAAGTTGGGTGAGTGGTCTTGAGAAAAAAGAGAATATAGACAAGTAGGGTTCAGGAGGACCAAAGAAACATTCTGAAGCGTGAATGTATGCAATGGCACTTTATTAAAAGCTGTGTTTTCCTTTATAGCCCATTTCTTGGCTCCTTCTGGGATAACAGCCAAGTCCATCAACAAAAACACCTGGACTTTGCAGCCACATCCTTGCAAGTCAAGGTTAAGCAAAATAGTTTGTTCCAAAACATCTTAGCAGATCCAAGAAGCAAAGTCATTTTGCTAAATACAAAAGTTCACACAGCTCCCATGAGAACTTTTAACTAAGGGTGAAGTCCCACCCTTTAGACCCATTAGGCCGGTTAGGATAGGGTTCTCACCCTCTCCCTTCCCTAAGACCAGGGGGAAGAAATGGGAAATCACCCTACACAGGACCTTTCTCCCTCAGAGTGGCTGGTGGTTTCAAACCACTGACCTTGCAGTGAACAGCCCAATATGTAACCAGTATGCCACCAGCGCTCTTAATATATCTCTGAGGGAGACCCAGTATATCACATTTACTTAGCCCGCAAATGAATCCAAATAGGAACTAGTGCAGATGATGAACTTCATTAACCTACCTTGAAGGCCCAGGGGAATGGAGTCTTTACATCTTAATTTGAGGGTTATTGGGCGAAGGCTGCTCGAGTGGGCGCACAAGTGGTCATTCAACATCATGCCCGCCTGCCATGCCTGGTCATCTGTGGATCCAGGCCCTGCATTCTAGGGGAAAGCTGTCAAGCTAGAGACGCAGAGGCTGACAGTTAGAAGCTGCCCCAAGGGCACTGAAAGGCACCTACTATGCACACTACAAGTGCCAATGCTGTTGTTGTTTGTTTCTTGATCGCATGGCTGTTCCTTTTCTTGGTACTGGTAGACCTGGACTATGCTTTCTAAGTCTGACAAAAGCTGACCTTTTAAAACACAGGTAGAGTGGAAACCAGCAGATGTTTCTGCTGACACTACAGCAAACGACTTTCTTCCTGTCCAGTCTCACTGTCATCATTTCTCCTCTTCTGTTCGCCTTTCCTGTCGCCACGCTGGGAGATCCCTCTTCAACTACTGTCCACTGGGCTACTGGTCTTTAGTGCCCATTGGACTGCAGTGCTGGCTCATACACTTTCCCACCATTTCTATCCTGAGTAGGGGACTTCCTGGATCGCATGTTCACTGAAGAGAGATTCCGCGAGGACCCTGGGCTGGAGAGATGCGGTGACTATGAGTGCATAGAGGTAACGGACAGTTACTCGGGGCCACATCTCTCCTTCCCGCTTGTTCCGGACCATGCAACAGCCCTCGTGGAAGCTTTCAGACGGAAACAAGTAAGCTCACCTGGAACCTGGGATGGGGGTCACCACCAGCTCCACGTCATGCCTCCAGCAGCTTCACGTCACACCTCTTCCAGTTCCACATCATCCTTCCAGCAGCTCCACACCCAACTCCACCAGCTCATACCCACCTCCACCAGCTCCA